AGTGTCTTTTTTGTACGGACCTCGCTGTGCTCGGTCCGTGCTGTTAAGACCGGGCCGATATTCTTTCAGTACGGCCCTCGCTCTTGGTTAATAAGATATATATATATATATATATATCGTGTCGTGTTATGTAATGTGTAGGCCTACTCTGTGACCTTAAGTTGCCATAAGTCGCCTTAAAGTTGCCTTAAGTCGCTAGTGTGACTTATGAGCATACCAAAGTAACCGAAATGACTATTGTGTTTACTGCAAGGGATTCTGTAAATATTTTTAAGGTTTATGGAAAGACTGTTCCTAACTTTGATTTTATCAGTTCAGTCAAATAAAATCGCTTTAAGTCGCCTTAAATCGCCTAAAGTCGCAATGTTTTTCTGCCAATTTTGCTTAAGTCGCCTTAAATCGCCCAAAGTCGCCCAAAGTTACGGCGACTTAAGGCCCCAGAGTAGGCCTATGTGTTTTGAGGAAAAACCCCATTATTCTTCCAGCACCTTTTGTTTAAATGGGTAGTGGTGAACAAATCCGATCCAAAAAGCGTCGCTTAAAATACAAAATTCGAATCAACTAGAAAAAAGGAAAAATTATTGTTTTTTCTTAGGACCACAGTGACTTAACCTGCCGAAACTGCAATGTACAGGGGAAGAAATTCAATCCCGGCACGAATGACCTCTCGCGTTCTAATTAGGATGTGCATACCGGGCTTTCTTATCCCGGCGAATGTCTACCGGCGTGGACTTAATCAGAGGCTAAGTCGCGTAAGTGCCTGCCGTTTAGATTTTGACCCTTCGTTTGAGACTCGTAATGATTGTACGAAATATCAAGGCATGAATGAGCTGCGTCAATGTATCATAGTTTCTACTTGGTGGAAAATCTCTCCTGAGTTTTCTTCATTCGTAATCTACGCTAATCCTCTCCACCCTGGGTCATTCGTGTTCCTTTCTAGTATATTCGTGTCCCTTTGGTGTCCACATCTAACCTTGACAAATTATTGTTTGAAGGTTCCTGTCGATTACCAACAGTTTTCAACTGTTCAAACAAACTGAAGCGTTTTAAAGATATCTATTATTCTTTTTTGTTTTTTTTTTTCTTGTGTGTGTGTGTGTGTGTGTGTGTGTGTGTGTGTGTGAAATGGCACCTTTAATTGTCACCAATGACCTGTTTACTACTGAAATGTTATACATCATAAATTTCTGTCTAATTCAACAAGGTTTTGAATCAAAGACTGGACTCTCAATTCATGAGCCCCCCCAACAATTTCGTATGAACGAGTCAAAGTATGCTTTTACTGTAGCACTAGTAAGCTGTTTCAACGAACCGAAACTCCATAAGCAATGTATGCCCCTCTTAACAACCACAATATTTTGAGTTATCATAGCAGCTTACCTAGCTCGCTCTTGAACGTAACGTTATGATAACTCCACTGTTGTTTTGCAAGTTCCACTGAGCCTGATCCGTGAAAAAGAAATTATTGGATTTAGCTTTAGCGCCTAGCTGTGACTTGTTTCAGGGCTTTTAGTTCGCAGTCCTTTACAATTCATCTTGTTCGGCTAGTGGGCAAATTTGTGTTAAATATAACCTTTCAATTCAAGTATTACTATTTTATAACTGTCCTCTGGCGGCAACAATTTTTCCTGTATCCTGTAGCATAGGCTGTGTCCACAGATCCGTTTGTTTTTGGGCACACACGCAGTCATTTAGAAGAAGCATTCAAGAATTTACACGTTCCCCGTTGGTGAACTGACTGATTCTCAAGAATACATACATATTTAGTGGTTATCGCTTGGTGACTGAAGACAGAGTTGCGACGCAAGAATTGAGAGCTGGTAAGTGAAGCGTGGAAAAAACTGCACGAAGGTAAAGCGAATCATGATGAATTGATAATAATCTGTGTTATTGTGGTTACGAGCTACTCATTTTTATGGACTAATTAGATGGGACAAAAAATGTCTTTTTACGTTTAATTGAAAAAAGCAGGTGTTTTAAGGGAAAATTCACTGCGACATAAATCATGTTTTTAGCGATGAAGTTGCTAAGCCGCCACCGGTTCTTAGTTAAATGTCCTTATAAAAAGCTTTTCGTTTGTAAAGAGATTCGAGTTGAAGTGGCGGTCTCTTTTCATTAGACACAAGTTTTTACTGAACGGAACTCATTTGATCGACAAAATACAAAGCGGCTAATGGGCGAAAGAACATTTCAGCAAAATACGCAGCTAAAGAAAATGTGGAGAGCGGCTGTTTTCTTTTTTTTTTATGGCTCTATATTCTAAACTTTTTTAAGCCGTGAGTGCGATAATCTTTCATCTACGAAATCTCCTCTTCGCAGTTCATGACTTTCACATATTCCCTTAGGGGTAAAAGCGGCACATTTCAATTGATTACTCTGTCTGTATCAATTTTTCTTCAAAATACGATTTAATTTCCAGAATACGAAATGTTACTTAATTCAGCTGACAACTTGAACTTTGTTTCATTTTGCGATAAGATCTCAGCTAATGTATTATTGTGGTCTTACATTGTACTTACTGTGCGCAACCAACTTCATTCAGGTTTCATGTCCCATTTTGGGTGTCTCGTTATTTGTATTTTGACTCGCCCTACGGGCTCGTCAAAATACGGCACAACTCGTAAAAATACTCAGCGATACTACACAACAAAACGTCTAATAAGATATATTTATTGAAACCTTTGATTCAACAGTCACCTCAGCCGCTACCTTGTTGTCAAGTCAGTCCGGCTACACAACTTTTTGAGCTATGTGTTTTTGTCACACGATTGTATTCCGATGATTCCACTTATATTTGGTTTATGTTATTCAATTCTAAATCAGATTCTCAGCTTTGGGAGTCTTGATACGGAGAGGAGGAAAGAGAACCAAGAGGACTAAGTATATTTGGATCGACGACAAATGTCAGCGCAATTCGTTAAAAAAAAGAAAAAAAAAAAATGAAGAAACAATCATAGTGGTATTCACTGTCCTTCTTATTGTCGAAGCTGTTCTGAAATAAGCTCTCTCGATCTCTGCGGTCACCTGTACAAACCACCGAGTGAAATTCTCATGACAAAAACGTGAAATGCACCGCTTACGAGAATTAAAATTCAGTTTATGTGAGAGTCCGAGTTTATTACCCCATCTGTACATAAATCTGTCTGTTCGCCTATCAAAGATCTCAGGTTTAAGTTTCTTATCAGTCTCTATTTCTATTTTCTCGTCTGTTTCCTAATTTCGATCTCCTTTGAAGACTCAATACAAGTGTTACGGTGTACGAATTACTCACATTCTTCCCACCGGGACAATAACGTTCAGTTGCCGCATGTGCGGCCAGAATACATTGAAACCTGTTTGCCAATGATACGGCGGCTATCATCCGATGCTTTTGTGTTTCCCGTGTCTCATTAATGACGAAAATTCCCCGCGAAAAACATCTCGCCAGGAAAGGAGGTTTGACAATCGAAATGCACAGCAGCAGAATATTACAACCGTTGAGAGTGACAGAAGTTGAATGGAAATTACTGAATAATACATGCAGCTCGATAAAAGTGAAACAATTTATTTCTAATCGTAGGCAATGAAAAATGAAAATTGTGAGAGTAGAAATCGTGTGGCGAAATTCTGCCCTGGGCCTTGAAAAGCAAATAGTTTCCCTCTGGTATGCCACAATAATAAGCCATTGAGCTGAAAGATGAAATTTCTTAAAGATGTTTTGATTAAGGTTAGTATTACACTTCTTGTATCTGTTTGACATGATGCGGTCATTCCGGATCAGTCGTGATCAACCTTAATTGTAAAATCAAACAGAGTAATCGTGATATTCGGAACATTCGTTCAAGAGCACTTACGATGTCAATTTGGATCTGAATCCGATATCATCTTTTATGCAAGTATCCTATCTTGGTTTCATTACTCATTTCAGATTTAGATTTCATTACCAGAGAATTTTCAGTAACCTTCTGTGACGTGAAAACTGACATAACAGCAATAAAAAGAGGGACGATGTTGTTTGATATCGATGAATAACTGCTTCAGGTATTTCACTTGCAGAAAACTCGCAGGTCAAGTAGAAGACACCTCCATTTAATTCGTATAGATCAAATTTTTGGCCATGATCTACAGAGATAAACAAAATAATTTTGTGTTTCCATCCGCGACTGTATGGTAACTTTTTTATTATTATTATTATTCTACGCAATCGTGTTTGCAATACCTCCCTCCACTTAAGCGCGTCAATCATATGCAACGTTCTTTTAATATTTAACGAGATGGCAGTATTCATATCGCAAAACTACATTTATAACTTCAGTTCATCATCAGAACGAAGTGAGAAAAACGCGGGAGAAAATGATTTCTTGTGACATTTCTGGATTGTTTTTCAGCTTGTTCTTCAGTGTAGCATTGTTTAAAGTTTAGCCGTCGCTCATTCTTTTCGACAGTCTTTCGTTATGCTGTAAATAGTGGCCATACCCATCTGTTAGTTCGTCTGTAACGTCTGAAAGGTTGATACATCGACCATTTACTATTGCAGAGAGGTTTCCACGTACTCTTCAGAACCAAATGCCCGAGAAAATAACGGCGTTGTTTATGAAACAGGTTAGTAAAACAAGTTTTTATTTGTTTGATATTTTTCGAGTTTGACTCAATCGCTTAAAGGCACGTTAGAGCCAGGTCTGTCGTTACTACTGAACTAGAAATAACTGAGGAATTATTAATGTATGGAAAAGGTATGATGCAAGATTCCGAGTGGAACTAAGTGGATTCAGGGAGAATGATTTAAAAATGCTTAATCCCAGCCCTCGCGCCCCGCGGTCAGCGACTTTGTCGTTTGCCCACGCAAACAAGAACACTACAAGCTAAGGTGAAGTTTAGATCTGTAAAAAAAGGAAGAAGAGGACCAAAAACCAAGGTCGTATTAGTTATCCCTTATGTAGGCATTTATTTAGGTTTTGGTCAACCAATGATTTTCAGAGTGAGGTAATTTTACACGTCCATTATAGTTATTAACAAATACTAAACTACTTTGACTAAAATCGAAAGTCCATTGTAATCGATTTTCACACACAGAAGTAAATGGGGAACTCTCATCTCAATCTTAAGATTACCGTCAGAAAGTAGACAGAATTTTTCAAACTACCCATTGAAAGATACTCAAAATTATTTTGCGATTTAAAATGATTGGCGTTTTAAGTGACATGTCTGGTTGTGTTATTGCGAATATTCAAAACAGGTAGAAATGTAATTTGGCGAGGAGGTTCTATTTAGACTCCCTGCTGGGTGTCTTTTATCCTCGGATCTTCAACAACAGTTGTTTCGTCGTTTTACATAAACCAGCTGATCAGCATATTGCCCTAATCTTCGCTTAAGACTTATCTGAGATAAAACATCCCTTCACCATGGTACAGTCTCTCTTGAAAAATTATTTCTGGCATTTTAATTCGCCCTCACTGTTGCTTTAGCATTAATTTTTGTCCTTCGTTATTATTTTATGTTATTGAGAATCGGGTGTGATTCAAAATTTGTTTTGATGCTTTGATGTCAAGCTAGTCGCTTTCCATCGAAAAACGTGTTTGAACTTTGCCAGAAAAGAAAAAATCTTACCTTTGCAATTACTCCATGGTTACTTAAAGCATCGAATTAAAACACTTGCTGCCTCTTTCTAATAATAATAATAAACAATCTTTAAGGAGGAAGCGCCCGTCACGTAAATACGTGGTTTTCAGAGAGGTCCTCCGTAAAAATAAAAAGTATTAAAAGCTAAAATAAGAAATACAAATGTCACAGATCTAAAACGGCGTATATCTAAAGTTTTATCCATCATTTAAATATTTATCCATTAAGAATCTTGTAAGGATTTCGTTAAAAATTTTGCATGGCATTGGCCTTCTTAAAAATACTGGGAGGGACATCCAGTCATTTATAAAACGGAAGTAGGACACCCTCTTTCCGCATTCCGTTTTAGGTTTAGGCAGTCTAGGTAAGTAGCCATTTCTAGTGTTGTAGCCATGCGAACTTCTCAATGTCGATTTAAAACTTTCAAAATGTTGCGGAATGTCTCCTTTGATTGCATTTTCTACGGTGGTGCAACGATGAAATAGACGTCTTCCAGCCAGAGGGAGCCAATTTACTGCAATAAATCGTCATAAGCCAACTATAGTACTGTACCAGCTAGACGGTAATTTTTTTTTCGGACCAGATACTCTTAACGCTATAGACGAACCCTTTGATCTTGGCTAAATATTGTGAGGTAGTTTGGTTTTATCCACAGTGTTGATGAGGTAAATTGGCCACCGCTGAAATTTTCTATCGCTGAGGCTTCGAGAGTTAACCCTTCGTCAGAACTAAATACTGCAAGCCCATTTTAGTAAAGTCAGTGCTAAACTAACGTATGATTTATTCCTAGCCGTCGTTGTATGGAAAAGTTTCAGCCTTTTCCACATTTTTCCCCGCGCTAAAAGGTTGTACTGTTTTTGTATGAGGAATTACCGTTCCTCAAAGATTGTGATTGTTCGTTGAATGCCTCAAACTACACGATCGAAACTCATTCCAATAAAAATCAGTTTAAAAGTTATGCTCTCGATTTGGTAAAAAGAGAAAAAATAATTTGAACTTACGACCGAGACTGAAAAAAGAACAAGGCCCTTTGGATATATTCATCAAGAGCAGCCGAAATATTCCTCTGCTGTTTTATTTTCCAGAAGTAATCTCGTTAACTTTGATATCGGCCTTTCTTCCTACAATGTAACACACAATTTTTTGGTTTCTGCGCTGTCGACTTGGACAGGCCAGCCACGTTCCTTACATGCAGCATAGAGATATGGTATTTCGAGTAATCGGTGGCATGTTAAGCATAGAGTGCATGTCAAGCATAGAGTGCATGTCAAGCATAGAGTGCATGTCAAGCATAGAGTGCATGTCAAGCATAGAGTGCATGTCAAGCATAGAGTGCATGTCAAGCATAGAGTGCATGTCAAGCATAGAGTGCATGTCAAGCATAGAGTGCATGTCAAGCATAGAGTGCATGTCAAGCATAGAGTGCATGTCAAGCATAGAGTGCATGTCAAGCATAGAGTGCATGTCAAGCATAGAGTGCATGTCAAGCATAGAGTGCATGTCAAGCATAGAGTGCATGTCAAGCATAGAGTGCATGTCAAGCATAGAGTGCATGTCAAGCATAGAGTGCATGTCAAGCATAGAGTGCATGTCAAGCATAGAGTGCATGTCAAGCATAGAGTGCATGTTAAGCATAGAGTACATGTTTCTACGATATAATGAAGGCACAGAATGTTCCAGTGCAATGTATACCTTCTCAGCGATCTTTTTCTACAGAAAGAAATGTTCATATGTTATCAGACTTATGTTGCAAAAAGTAACTTATGAGAGCTCTAAACGATGAAATATGTCAAGTCGATCCGTCGTTTTCAAAACCAAAATTGCTATTGGATAAAACTGAATGACGGTAAAGCATCCTCATTTCTAAGTATTGACCTTCTTCCGTAGGGACCCATCCACAAAATTAAGTGTAGCTTTTGTTATTCAAACACAGAAGGTTTCGAAGCGGTGGGAATCTAGAGAGCGGGGTGTGTCGATGCAATTTTCAGAATCACTTAGTGGAATTCGAAGAATCACTGATCCAATAAATTTGAGGGGAATTAACTTTCAAAATGTTGGATATTCTGAGGCCGAATCAGCTAAAAAAAGTCAGCGAGAGAGAAACTAGGTACTGAAGACGCATCTTGAAGACTGAGGCCGCTTTCATAGGCCACTTTCATAAATGGCTGCCAGATCAATATTCTTTGTCTAAATTTAAATTAGCCCTACTGGCCTCGTTCTCCAGTACAAAATTCAAAAGAATACATTATCTCAAGCGAGGCC